AATACGTCCAATCAGCAGGATAAATAAAAAGCTATTCCGATTAAGTAGAAGTAAAACTTCTCCATTCTTCAAGTGTTTTCGCATACTTCGTTCAGAAATGCATAAACGAAACTTTCATGAAAAGAGGAAGCGACGAGAACGATTCAACAATTCGATATAGTTCCTGACTGTGCTTACAAACAAGCAATAAATAGTGCGGGAGCCGCAAGCTTAGGTTGGGATGCCTTTCATTCGATTACATAGCCCACATCCATATTAGCCTACAATAAAATTCAAGCATATCAATAATTACATAACAAACAAGTGTAAAACATTCATTCGTTAAATTTAGGGGAACATAGTATTGTGTCACAGCATGTCCAGATGCACATCAATAGATAGGGTAACTCACATAGGGTAACTTCTCGACAGGAAGCACATAAAATATTAGAGCACTCAAAAAAAGTTTTTTTACACACAAATGGGCCAGTAATATGCGATCTTTCGCCCTACTTTTGCGACGCTTTCCATTGAAGGTGCCCTTAAAGCTGACCACAGACTGGTGTCAGACTTTTAACGCTTTGTATTTCGGATGATTTAAAAACGACAGGAGTTTTCCCTAAGCTTGCGTCACGTAACCCCGAATCGGTACTGCCGTCTATTCACGTAGTTTTGTCCGAGCAACGGAATCCTTTGCTTCGTTCGTAAACACAGCGGCTCTCGCCTCATTCCGTTCGTCTACCGTGGGGGAAGCCCTTCTGCGTACAGAATCTTCACTTTTTGTAACGCTAACTAATCAGACCTACATGCATAATTGCCAACGGATGCTTGATGAGAAAGCTTCTAAGCCGATTAAAACATTTGGCACTAACACTTCAGTTGCAATATGGTCATCCACTGCAACGAGGATCGATTGATTATTAGTCTTACCTACTGTATAAGACTTCGTTTTCTATAACAATTTAGTGCACGATTCGGTGCATGTATTCAAAGCGTTTGATTTAAAGTTTGAAAGACGCAACAATTGTAGACAGCTAAACATCGTGCCATGTAGATACGTTTAGAGAAACCTGAAGCAGAACGTGTATTTATGTCATCTGTAATAAGATTGAACCGAGTTGCGTTGGAGAGAACCAGATTGAACAACACTTTCTGAGGCGGATTGAAAGCATCAACAAACATGTTCGCGGTCGCACACAGGTGGCCTTGGCCACGAGCTTAAGTAGCGAGGTGCTTTACATGAATGACTCTATGAATCCACAGACGTTCTTCTCCTCAGACAAGAGAGGACTTGATGATATCTAAGCAAAGGTATTTGGGGTAATGAGCTACTACAGAATCTTCTGACTGAAAGGCGAGAGGCAACAAGTGTACTAGATTTTATCCGAGAGAACGGTGACTGTAGTTTGTGTGTGTCCTGCGTCGACTTGACTAATTGTCGTCTCACGAAGTAAAACAATTTAGCTTTATGTTAGCGTTTGATTGTTTTCAATGGAAAGTGTTCGATAAGATCTAATGAATAGGCATAGAAAAGCATCCGTTGGCGAGTAGGTGGCGATGGATGTCTAAAAGGGGAGTTTACTTAATTTTTATTTAGTTTATAGTATCGTCGGATAAGACGAACATTGTCGATTTGAACTAGATACGACAAAGGTTGCCTGAACGTGTTTAAGTTATCTCTGTGTCTTTCATTGAAAGTAGTTCACTTTGTAGGACCGGACTTCCAGATCGTTTGGTGCCTAACGTACTGGAAATTCTAAGCGGCGCTCCATGACAGCTGAGGGATCAAGCCATCATCAGAAGACGGTAAATTATTCGAGGAAAGAAATAAGGAGTTCCTAGTATTTATTTAATTGAAATATTTGAAGGTGATATCAGACATAGCTATGAAGGCTTGCTACAGAAGAACCATCAGAAGATTTTCCAATGACTATTTTTGCTAACTGCGTCAATGTAAGAGCAAAACACCACTTGGGTTAGGGCGTACCGACATTTGTACCGACATCCACCTCGATCATGTTCAAAGTGATGTTACCGAATAAAACTACACATCGTTCTTAAAGAGTTGCTTCCCTTAAATCTCCATTGAAGAGGCGTATGGGAATAGAGTCATCGGAAAACACTTTCGACGTGTCCATTAGGCTCGTGGCGACAACAAGGGTAGCAACCTGATTCAGAAACATATTCGACTATTGAAGCAGCTTCATTTCAGAGTTGATTACAAAGGCAATCTTCGATTTCTCAATCAGTCGCTGTTTTTGTTGTCGCGATGCGCATCCGAATCTTACAACCAGTATTTATCTATTTACATTTTTGTTAGCAGATTGTGTGTTGTCGTTAGTGTGCGCAGCTTCTAATAACAGTTTTTCAACGTCTAGGTTATACCTGTTAAAAATCCTACTTCTTCGAATTTTTATAAATTAATCCTGGTATTTGCATTTGTACAAATATGGACAAATATGTATATACCCTCTAACGAACGTGAACTGACTGATCAGCCTGTTTAACTTATCACACCCGCTTCGATAACAGCGCAACTACAACCCTGACCGCAGCCGGCTTTCTCAATATAAAACAGAAATGGCGTCAACATACAACGGCAACAGCAACGTAATACCTACAGCGATAACGAGCGCGTTCTATTTGAAATTGATGTGATCTGCAAATGTCTTGGCAACCGTGTTTTACCAAGCCCCGATGCACACAGAGACCACATGTGACGAACACCACAGGATACGCCGTTGCCGATAACCTATAAAAGTCACTGCGGGGTAGACGAAACGTGAGCTTTACTCACATCAAAGTACGAGATCTTCTTCTGTGTAATTATAAAAAGCCGTCTGCGGGTGATTAGGCGCTGCGTTGGTCTTCTTGTTCGGCCATTAAAGAAGTGAGAACCTTGCCTCTTGATGGTGTCGAAGTCTGACGGAACGCAGAAGCTCGCGACCCATGTAGAAACAAGTCATTGTATTGACTGCCGTAAGAGTGCGTGCTTGTACCTATTTTTTCTGTTTTTTTTTTCTTTTGGTGGGTTCGCTAGCACACTGTCACCTCATATTTTCTGATCGATTTGTTTATATCCCATTGACGAGTTTCCGTTGTCGCGATAAATTAGGAAAAAGATAACAATGGCATACTTTGTGATGATGTTCATCATGCAAAAACGTTTCGCGTTATATGAAAAGAAAACTAGTTTGAGATAACTACATGTTTAGTCTATGTATCTGTTGTATCCAGATGAGCGATAGAGTCAATGCTAAGTAGATTCAGTACATGCTATTTGATAATAATTTTGACTGTAAGAGGAAAAACTTTCAACGCGAACACCAATTTAACAATAGTTACTGCGAAAAGTAATATAAACATTCGCTTAATAATTATTGGCTTGTCTGTTAGAATACATTTTGAAATGGACCGCGCCTAATTCCTGTTAAAAACAAAAAATGCGCTCAGTAAATGTGATCTCAGTAATATTAAAAGCTCGATACAACTTTTAGGTGCAACTATAGGTGAACTCATCAAATAAATATTATGATTTTTATTTCGCCACTATGTGAACTTTCTTCATAAAAAAAAAGGAAGGAAAAAAAAGGAAAGTTGGGCTTTTCTATGAAATTCTTTAGACAACTTAGATAATTCGTTAAGCTTGAATTACGCGTGATTGTTGCCTGCTTAAAGTATTATTATAGCTACGAACAAATCTCACATACAATTAAAAAAACCTTACGGTATTACCGATTTAAAACAAGACGAGCCAATTACTGTATTATTGAGAAATTATTTCTCCACAAGACACCGAATAATTTGTGATTTTTATCACAGATTTTGTTAACTACATTTTTAGGCCAACTGCTAACGTTGTTCTAATGGCGTGAACCCCATAGATCATTTCGTCTGTTGGCATCGTCGAGAAATTATGACTATAGATTGGCTATATTTTTGTAAGGCGGTACTAGTTTGTGCTACACAGCACGTGTTTACCGAAGAATTAACGAAGTGATGAGTGACCCGGCGAGCCCCCGAAAACGGCCAAGGAGGGGACGGAGAAAAATCACACAGATTCAATCTGGTAACGTGTGTTGTTGAAATTGATTGACGATTTCGGGATTCGATCATGTGAAATAGAATCAACTAGACTTCGTGAGACAGAAACAAACAGGCTTTCTGCAAGAGCGTCCTGCAAACTGAGCTATTGACAGAGATTGTTTTGTCGGTTAGTGGGGCGAGAAGCATCCACTTCTGCGCCCACCTCATTGAAGTAAAATCATCACAAGAACCTATTGCCTCCAAATATAACGATACATTACATACGTGACTGATATTTGCACCATTTACGGTCACTTACAGCAGAGCTTTGCTCTTTGAAAGCTATAAACTATGGAAACTCTCCTTAATTCGTGGTATACGTTTATACGTCAGAGAACGCTTACTCTTTCGTACGACGCTTACTAAACATTTTTTAATGCTGAATATTTTTTCCTATGTGAATTTCGCTATTCCTAAACAATGAATGATAAGTGGCGTACGTCTGATAAAATCTACGCTTTCTGTTCTTTATACGGTATCAGTAAGCAGTGGAAAAACTCTGGTAATGTACAGCTTGTGCTCTACACGGGACTCAGTTGCCGAATGTAACCTCTTGACAACGATTTCAGTCAGATGATCCAACTCTTAGAAATTGTTTGGAAAACATAGCATGCAAAATCTTCATATTGTACAGTCATAATTAACAACTTTAACGGCGATTTCAATAAGGAAAAAACACATCACTTTCTTCTTTATTAAATTTCATATTTTTTTATTGGCACTTTGCTGGTATCGGCGACTTGATTTTCAAATCTACAGATTCTACGACCCAACAAAAGAAATTTCTATTTTCTAGATAAATGTTTTACTACTTCTGTACATTTAATTCAGGAGCCTGAATTTTGAATGAATATCAAACAAACCATTCTGATTGATTTAGTTTTCGTTACGTATCACTGCAACTGTCATCATTTGCGATCTGTTTACTCTTTCAGCTGTTGCAGCAGGTGATCATCTTGTTACGTTAGCGGACAAGTGGAAAAGTGCTCATTATAAAACGCTACAATGACCCAAAGTAGCTCCACAACCGGGCTGGCAGGAGGTTCACCAAATTACCGAGAGCATCATCTTGTCGATCCTGGATCTAATGGACTCTCTCTCGACACATTTAAAGCGATGGCGAAGGCTTTCGTGGTTGGGTTTCTTGCCTATCTTATAGGTGAGTCTGCGTCCATGGCTTCTTTTTTTAGTACTAATATGTAGCTTTTCTCCAGTTTTGCAAAAACAGATAAGAGTGCTCAATTGTCTAATCACAAAATGAACAACGGCTTGATTAATGTTTATATCGAATATTAATTTTATACTATATATTGGTATGACTAGAGACCTTAGTACCTTTGAAGGTCTTAGAAGGGGAATCACAAAGGCGACAACAGGATTTTTCCAGGCGTAACATCGACACTCAAAAGACAGTTACGGCTTCGGTGGGAGCAGTGTAGACTGAATTATCATTGTCTTTGGCCAATGTGTCTGCGTATCTGAATTAACCAATAGGATATATCAGAAATGGTTTGAGAACGTGGTGTTTTTACGTCTGTGGCCTATTACATGGTCTCGTTGGGGAATCTCAATTACATTTTAAGTAAAATTTTAATATTTTTGCGTCGATTTCGACGATTTCATTAGTAACATCAGAGGAAATCAGTAACATAAAGAACGGGGTAGATGTTGGCTGGATGTGTGTCAGATGTCAGATTGTTTTTCTATGTACATTAGATTAGGAAAGGAGGCCGACAGTAAGCCTTCTTAATGGAAACGAATTAGGCTTCAGAAAACTGACACGTTGTGCTAATATGGTCATTTCAACATATCCGAGACCATAACAGATCAGCGCAGAAATAATGAAACACACCTGGTTCGTGCTCAAACACAACAGCGACTAAGCAGGATTACCGTCAAATAACAACTATGAATGTTAAGGTAAAACTAACCTATCTCACGACGGTCTAAACCGAGCTTCCGTTCCCTATTAAACAACCGGGTAAACAATCCAACACTTGACGAATTCTGCTTCGCAATGATAGGAAGAGCCGACCTCGAAGGATCAAAGAGCGACGTCGCTATGAACGCTTGGCCGCCACAAGCCAGTTATCCCTGTGGTAACTTTTCTCTTGCTTAAAATTCTTAAAAACAAAAGGATCGAGGGGCCACGCTTTCACCGTCTACACTTGTATTGAAAGCTAAGATCAAGCCGACATTTGCCCTTTTGTTCTATGCGAAATTTCTGTTCTCTGAGCTGGCCTTAGGACACCTGCGTTATTTTTTGACAGATGTACCGCCCTAGTCAAATTCCCCACCTGACTATGTCCTCAATATAAATGACACAAATTACTATGCTTTTTTCTAAAACATGGAATGACCGTATTTACTTCATTGAGTAAGTAAAGAAACGGTAGTAGTGGTATTTCATTGAACGTCCCACTTATGCTACACCTCCTGTCTCTCCAGAGTCAGACTAGAGTTAAGCTCAACAGGATCTTCTTTTCCCGCCGTTCAATCAAAGCCCGTTCCCTTAGAGAGTAGATAGGAACAGTGGGAATGTCCTTAATCCATTAATGCGCGGCACTAATTAGGTGACGAGGCATTTGGCTACCATAAGAGAGTCATAGTTACCCCCGCCGTTTACACGCGCTTCACACTCTTCGCCTTGACATTCAGAACACTGGGCAGAAATCACATTTTATAATAACCAATTACTGGACTTCACAATGCTTTGTTTTAATTAGAGAGTCGGATTCCCTCAGTTCGTGCCAATTCTGAAGTAGTTGATAATTTGCACTCACATCAACATAAACCGAAACAGCTAACAATGTCCATAAACACAACTTCGGTCATCATCCAGACAGACACGAAGTCCATCCGGCGACAACACAATGTCATAAGTACTTCTACTGTTAATCTGACTGGATAAATCTTCAGAGCCATCGCTTCTCCCAAAGTTACAGTACTATTTTGCCGACTTTCCTTAACCTCTATTAATCTAGACACTAAAGGCTTCGCGCCTTGGAGACCTCCTGCGGACATTAGTACGGACTGCCACCAAGATAATCACCACGCTCAAATTTTCAGCGACCAAGGGAATCAAGTAAACTACTCTAATATGCGTAGCTTTATCTCAAATTTATATCATTCCATGGGTACCAGTGACCGAAACAGAAGAGACCGCTCTTCCTAGCTTATCCCTTGGTGTTTTTGAGCATAATTGTGTTGCCACGGTTGATACCTAGGTAGTGCTCCCAGTGTACAGGTTCAGGAATATTAGCCTGATTCCCTTTCGCTTATAGTGATAAAACATTATTGTACACATTCAACACATGTTTCATTATAAGCTTAGGACCGACTGACCCACGGTCAACTACCGTTCATCTAGAATCCATCCCTAACTTCAGTGCTCAAGGTTTTCCATTGAGTACTTGCTACTAGCACCATGATCTGCACATGTGACAGCTCCAGATTGCTTCACAGTAACATCCTTCGACGCTATCACATTACCTTCCTACTCCTTGAGCGCTCCGGTGCGTCACACGTCAGAAGTTGAGTATACGTACAATGCTATAGCGCCGTCCATTTTTGGGGTTAGTTGCTTTGGCAGATGAGTTGTTACAGACTCGCTGGCGGATTCCGACTTGCACGGCCACCGTCCTTCTGCTTTCAGCAACTAACACCGTGTGTAGATCACATGCGCATTTCAGCTTTTGGCATTTTAACCCAACAATTCGTACGACCCACAGCGCCAGTTCTGCTTACCAAAAATGGCCCACTAAGCATACAGCATTGTTCTTCAACAGAGAAACAACATTCACACCCATTAAAAGTTTGAGAATAGGATGAGGCTATATACGCCCCAGTACCTCTAATCATTCGGTTTACGGGATGAAACTAAACGGGTACGCTAGCTATCCTGAGGGAAACTTCGGAAGGAACCAGCTACTAGGCGGTTCGATTTGTCTTTCGCCCATATACCCAGACCAGATTATCTACCACGAACATCTACCTCTGAGTTCGTCGGCGGTAGATGAATCGCTATTTTGTCAATACCCACACCTTTACTAAGACAAAATAAACTTGGGTTTCAGAGATTTGCGTACAACAGAATTAATGGCAGACTAAACAAGGCCATCAAATTTGAAAAAGTTGCTACGCTTAGGTAGTGTGACAAATTAGGCATGTTCCTAATCAATAAAAATAATGGAAAATGTGCAGAATATCACAAGATTGTGTCTGTGCATAACATATTGGACGAGAGGATGCTATGAAGCTAAACAAGTGCATGGTAGAAATTACATCCTCAAACGGTCTTATTACGAAGCACCATTAGTTCTGTTGGCTTCCATACGTCGTCCATACAATAATGTTCTCTGAATAGCGGAGATTATTTACCCGCTCAATAATTATGGCCGATTTTTGAAAGCTTTGGTGCGGCACCTAGCACCAAAGCTTTCTAAAGTAGCTTTAGCTTGTTTCAGTTACTGTAGTACAATGCAACGATATGGCAAGATCATTGTTTCAAATTATCTTCAGCCAATAAAGCTAAAATTATGACGGTCGTCCACATAGCTCCTTTAAAAAAAACAAAAAAGAAAAAAAAAAAAAAAAAAAAAAAAAATATATATATATATATATATATATATATATTTATATTATTTTTTTTTTTTTTTTTTTTTTTTTGTTTATATATATATATATATATGTAATCTTTGTTCCGTGACACTTACCATGCATAGAAATTATTATGAAATACTTTTTGCAACTTCAGGTTACATTGCATGACGATGTTGAGTGGCAATTCTTTATGCTGCTTGAAGTTAAAGTCTAGCGGGCAGGTCTTCTCGATTTTTCGTATTTACTAAAATTAGAATACGCTGTTTAAATATACGTAACGGCGGATACGTATTTTGAATTGCAGGTTATTTCAATTTGTCTCTTTCTTGGCTGGTGCTGGGATCCGTAGCATACGCTGTGCGCTACCACCTGCGACAGCAGATGAAAGCCAAGGCCTCGCTGCGAAAACTTGTACTCGATAAAAAAAATATTTCGATGCTGCTCGAGGACCTTCCAAGCTGGGTAAGTTAAGTCCTTTTAATATTCGAGATTAATTATGTATTCACATATTTTTCTAATAATATTACTAAACAAATCCTTTTTATAATGATAATAATTTTGGCCTGTTCTATAGTGATACCCTGGACCAAGTTGACAGATATGCTTTAGTTTTATGGGTCCAATATATTGTAACAACGATGTCCATATAACATAACTGTCGATATATCGTACCATGTTAATATCTAATGGATCTATTCAAATTAGTGAATCACAAGGCCAATCATAGCTACACATTGTACAACAATGCAGATGGTATCGAGCAGTCGCTGAGCAAGTAGGCAAGAGTAAATTGGCAACTGCTTATTAAAAGCGCTTCGTTAGCGCCTAAGTTCAAGTTTTCTAACTTGAATAGCGCTCTCGATAGCAGCTACTTTGTAACGGTGTCATTGGAGCTATGCTCATGGTAAGAATATTTACCCTGATACCGTATAATGAACAATAATCATTCGCCGCTCGGGCCATTCTACGATCATGGCAACTGTTTAAACATATACATCAAATAATGGCGCCGTCAGCCGTTGAAAATTCTACCGAGTTCCGTGAACTTAGTCGTTCGGCTCGAATCGGGATAACGGCGAAAAGACGGGCAGCCGTTGTAAAATGTTTTACTCTGCCATTGGCCGTTGAAGAGATGACAACAGATAAATTTAGCCATGCTCACTAGTTATGAGTTGACAGGAGTTAAACTTTCAATGTTGTGTGTGATGTTTTACGAAAAAGTCGTTATATTTTTTTCTTTGTAGGACACGTCCTTCCAAATTTAGATATAACGTTCGCTCACACTACCATGCTCCATATAACCATGTTCAAAGTTATCTTAATCCAGATTTACAAATTGGGTTTAGGAATTTGGGTTTTCTCCAAATAAAAGGTCTTGTTATAGCTAAAAAGTGTAAGACTGACTCAACCATTAGTTCAGTCAAAGAAAATAGTTCTAAAGTTATTATTTCTATCGATTTTTCATTTTTCGTTTTGTGCTCGCTTGTGTGTCTATAAGAAAGTTGGTCAATTCAGATCAACGCAAAAAAAACAAGTCTATCACATGTAATACTTGACTTATTTATGGATTCACTAAAAAATAGAAAACGCTAGGATTATTGCTAGACACATTTGAACACGTCCTCTCTCTTTACTCGCTTTAATTATGCTTCCCCTAAGTAATTCGAGTTTGGGTCTAAAATCAATCTGCGATTGAAGCTACCGTTAACTCAGACTATTCTGCGTTGACGAGTCGTGCTACAATATTTTATTATTAATAAGAAATTGAAACGCTCTATTTCTGAAAAAAATCCTCCCTAAAGGAAACTTTGTGGAACATTTAGTTGATGGCCTAATACTTCGTTTAATGAGAATGCCTCTAATAACAAGTAGTGCTGTTGTGAAAAAAAAACACTAGCGTACTTAATTTATTGAATGTATTCGTATGAACGATTTTTGACACCCTCGTGTCATTTTCCTTTAATTTACTATACTTAATTTTAGAGCAGGTCAATTATAGGGAAGGCTAAAAAAATGAGAGCTATTAATTCGACGTATAAGAAAAGAAAGGCTTATCACTGAGAGGTTTTTTGCTTTCGTCGGGTATGCGCTACCACAATAGCCCTCTTTTGACACCTTAGCTAATTTAACTTGGCACGATATCGAGAGGACACTGTGCCGTCTACTTGTATCGGGGTCTGTTAAAAAATAAGAGGCCAATACATTTATAATACTTCACTTTAAACTAGGACTGCAGTTCTTCCACAACAACATGTAAGTGAAGCTGTTAGGCCGGATCAGGTTCGACTTGGTGTAATTATAGGAAAGTCTGCAGCGGCAGCATAGTTGACCACCTTCATTTGCTGGAAGCGTGCTCATAACTCTTTTAATAAATAAACAAATAAAGCATTTAGGGTGAAATAGGACGAAGATAAAATTTCTTGGCTTTAAAGACGAAGGATTCCAGACCACTTGTATGCTCACTTATATTACAGTATGTGGCGTCAAAAGGGAGGTGTTTGCAAAGCACTTATCGAAAATGCCCTCTTCTTTGTTAGATATATTTCTTGAGCCTTAAACAGGCCTCGACTGAAAGGGTTATGTCTGCGCATATTGAACTGTTTATTAAACTAAATTTTCAGTTTGTAATTCAACAAACATACCTAATGAAACCAAGGCAAAATTGGTTTGTATGAAACATAGATCTGTTGCGTGTAGTTATTTCAATGGCTTCTTGAGCATGTTTTTTAGATATGCACAGTATTCAGAACGTGACTACAAATGTATTTAAAACAGTATTTCATTTTTGTTCTAGGTATACTTTCCAGACACAGAGCGGTGCGAATGGCTTAACAAGGTAAGCGTAATAAAGTACATCGTTTAATGGTGTCTACAATTGCTAAAATATTATTTGCATTTAGCTAAGTATCTCACGGTTCGATTCCACGCTTTACCGGAGTATCCTCGAGTTGCTGTCCACGTCGAACAATAAAGAGGCGCTACCGTGCGCCTGTGGAAAAGTTAAACGAAGCTAGCCGAGTTCAAACACCCAAATTGTCCTCCATTTCCGGCATCTCGGGCTTGACGCAAAACTTGTTAAAAAAAAAAATAGTGATTTTTCGAGCCTCTGCGATCCTGACTACTAGAGCTAGGTTTTTGAAGTACTATCAACCTACAGGCATACTGTTGTATTTTTAAAAAGGAGTTGTCACGTTTTCGTTTCGTGTACGTGTATATACAGTGATCTTTACTACAATGTCGCATCTTCGAAAAAGGCACCTTATCACAGAGGTCCGAAATTACGATATCGCTTACGTGTCGAGGGTCGCACATATCTTAACACTATCGCTTATCTCAATTGGCCCCGTGGGCAACAAAGATATCTACATAGCGATCGGAAGAGCGAAAGTGATGAGAGATCTTCGAGATAAGTGACTCGACTACGGACCTATGATTGCAAAACCGCCAAAAGCGTTTTGATTATATAGTACCTACATACATACATACATACATACATACATAGAAAAGCAATCCCATAATCGGAACGTATGTAGATACAGAACGAGCAAGCCTCATGGCAGTGAGAGGCAGCATTGATACGCATTAAGCGGTCAGCAGAAGATGATAATGAAGAAGATCAGGGCGTTAGGAGGGCTCATCAAGGCGGCGGCTGCTACACGAGTAGCCCCGCACCCACATGCCCCACAGCAAATGGGCGCTCCATAGTGCTGCCGTTTACCGTCGCTGGATTGAGCGGTGGATATTTTGGGCGGGTCGAAACAACAAATATTGCTAAATATAGTAGGTAGTAGTAATAGCAGTAGTATTGTTGTATTGCATAACACTCGCAATGGTAGTGGAAAAATGCCGTTAAAGCCAAAGAAAATCATTCGGATTTTGTCACTAAATTAATCAGCCGCTTTGTTCGACTATCGCTGAGGAAATGTTGTGAGATTTTTTTTAAAAGAACATTTCCGAAACTACGTGTTCAACACGAAGAATCATCCAATAAACTATACTTCATTTCTGAGTTGGGCTGGTGTTAGAGTGAAGTCTTTAGATCATAGAAAGGCTCAACGAAGCATTGATCCTTCTCTATTATCAAAGTGTATGGAATTTCTTTTTCGAAGAGCCAGGAAAAAAGGTCATTTGAAACATGTGAATGTCAACGCCATATTGGATAGGATGGATCTACCAACGTCCTGATGATCTGAGGATCGATCGTCCTGGTGACGAAGAAGTATGCATACATCATCAATGAGTTTTTTTCTGGTGATTGTGCCAGCTTTCTATGAGTAAAGGACATGTGCATTAAGGTGTTATACAATATATATATATATATATAGATAAAGATATATATATATCTTTCTAAAAACGGTGTCGCGAATGGAAAGCTTTTCCTTCAACTAAACTTCCTCCCAACGCTAATGTTTGAGAATCGAGTCTCGATCATGATGCGACTGGCCTTTGGTTACAAGTTTACGCATACCTTATCACACACTGTATCTTAAAAATAGATTCAATTTAAAAAGGCAATATTCTCTGCGGGCCTTTGATAAAGCTGACGTTGTGTTTAGAATCAATATCAATTATGCTAGATGACAGCTGATAAAGGACATGTATATGATACTGTCGACGAGCTATTGCTGTGTAAATTGTGTGCCTATATATATATATATTCTGCCTTGTTGTATCTGCTTAGATATGACTAACAGTTGAAAAAAATCGATACAATCTTTCTATCATCTCAAACATAATTGAATTTTAGAACATAATTACTAAGTCGCAATTTATGTAAAGCAAGTATATTAAAGCTGCGAGCTAATTACGCTTTCTGCTCATTATATAATTGGATTAGTGAACACAATAGCCCTTGAAGAAAATCATATGTTGACATCATGAATAATAGACATTGGCTATGGATCAAGACAACGTCCAGCTCTTTTCAGTTCCCTATTCTAGAATACTTGCGCCATTATTAACCAATCAATTTTTAGTAAGATGTCATTTGCCGTAAGGGTTTTATTCTAAATGCTCTCCGTTAGCTCGATATTATAATGTAAGTCATTTGATCAAAGTTAATACGATTATTACCAACAACTTAGGCGCAAAAAAGAGGCCTCCTTTCTTTTGAGGTCACATATGTCCTTTACTAGCTAACTCAGCGAACATTTATAACCTTTGGTATTCTAACCTAGCTAGCCTAGTCAAGTGATAATTAGCGTTTAGGTACGGGCAATTCTCACCTCGTTGCTCTTTCTCCTATCTGACTTGCTCTTTTATGGTGATGAGACCCTCAGCTTGAACAAGTGAATATAGTGCAAAATAAATATTGTCGTGTAGAACTGTGGATATGCTCAGACTTTCCGTCATTATCTAGTTGCCCTTCCTTCCTTTGAGCGCATTAACTCAACGGATACGGAAAGATAACGAGAAGGCAGCGTTGTTGGGTCTGCTACAAAATAGAAATTTCTGACCCTTTTGTCGTCGACCTGATTCTCTGATGATAAGACTTATCAGGAAAAAGTAAGAAAAGATCGGACGGAAAGCTCTAAGTTAGTAATCCGCTGTCTCTCGTATTTCTGTGACATGTTTACCTACTGTGCTTAAGAACATGGCAACATAGCATTAGTGTAAAGGTACCAGCGTAATGTAAAACTCCTATCCAGTTCAGTAGATCTTTCTATGTAGGTTTTAGTTCAGGTGAGTACCGCTGGTGTTAAGCGCGTTTTCCTTCGTACGACCTGCTTTTTAAAAAAAACGATATGAGAAATAGATGTTGCCGTAGTACATGTGAATTTTTACTTTCAAGTGTATGACTGCTTACATGATGTAGTTGTTTTTAGTTGTATTTTTACTTAGCACGGATACTTATTATAGTTACGTGGCCGATCTTTATTTGGTCATTATTATACGTTCCGTAGTTCCCCGATGGTTCATGATAATGGTGTTTCCATTTTTTCTCTTTGCAGATGTTGGGCCAGCTATGGCCGTTCATTGGACAATACGTTCAGGAAATGCTCGTCGAGGTAGTCGAACCTTCTTTACGAGCTTCTTTACCCAGCTATCTTCAAAGCTTCAAATTCGAGACGATCGACCTTGGTGATATTGTGAGTGGAATTCGTTTTGCATTACATGAAAGGACGAACCTGTTTATATTGTATTTACCTTCTTGAGTCGATGTTTGTGACTAGATACAACATAAAGTACAACAAATAAAAAATTATAGTTGCTACTTATTATTAGGTTTATTCCAGATGCTCGACATTTGTCTTTGCTATTATCTTAATTTATTGTTACATATGTTGCTAATTTGTTTATCTGTTTATTTGTATACTTGTAACTATATTTATTTAATATTTGTTTAAGAAAAAGTATCTTCATAAATCTTCCCTCTCCCCTTAATACAGCAGCCAATAGCCGGCGAAATACATATAGTGGTAAATTTTTATCTTATCTTGAACATGAATGAAACTATATGTACATTTGAATTGTATAAATATATTTTGAGATTAGGACAGCGTATTGTTCTGGGCTAATCAGTACTTTGGTAATTTGTGTGTATTGAAGACGTCCACCTACTTCGTTAAGATGCAAGTCCACCAGCGGACCGTGGAGATCGCACAGTGGTAACGCATCTTACTACTGAACGGAGATCCACAAAAGCGGTCTAGATTCGAATCTTGCCATAGATCTTTAAAATAGCCCTTTGTCCTGCAGGCCCCATTGAGATGATTGTTCATATTGAGCTTCCTATTCTGATAGGTCTTTGAAGAGATGCGGTAAAATAGCGGAACCCAAGACTCACATAGAAGAGTTGGCTAAGGGTCGTAGCTATGGAAAAGGAAGTTTTACGAGGCCAACAATTGGAGTCCACAGGCTGGCGCGCCTGTGAAAAGTGTTGTTTCAAGTCATATGATTATGTCTAACATATCTAAATATAGGTTTGCAGATGCTTATTACTAATATCTATCATAGGTAATTTAGATAATAACTAGATATGATGACTACTTGCTGGCAGAGGTTGCTAGTAATAAGAAGTGAAATAAATTGAGCCGCTTCTGTATAGCTGCGCTCTGTGACAGCTGCTGTATTCTCTATATGCAAAATCGTTTTAGTTTTTACAATTAAAAAAAAAAATTACATCTGAAAGGAGTTGTATGTACCTGCACATGACTATTACTCAAGTTTGTGCAAAGGGAAGTTTTGACGTCCAAATATGTATAGAAATATAGGAACAAGTAGACATCCTTCGTATATATACTATCAAGGAAGTAGCTATTTCAATTCATAGACACTTCTTGGGTTTCTAGAGGAAACCCACAAGACTGTTAGCTTACTGAAGCTTTTTTGCACGTTTGTCCAACATTTCATCTCCATTATGTGCTAGCTTATGGATCGATCTTGTACTACTATTATTAGTAAGCTGACAAATGTTGTAGCCCTTACTTAGATCGCCCACTCAGCGTGCTGTCAGATAGCATATCAAACATTACATTTTTTTTTATTTATTATGTACTAATTTACTAAAATTATTTCCTACGGACAAGTGCATGCTTGCTAATCCAGATCGCAGTATCAACGTTTTCTGTTATAGAAAGCTCATCGTCTTGAAGAAGAGGCCGCACAAAGAAGATGCTCATATAGGTACAAAGCGTTTACATATCGACCATTTTCCGATAAACCCTAATAGGGCACAATATCATGTAATTTGAAAACGTTCGTACTTGTTTAGATAACACCTTCTGATCATGTGATCTCTGATTTCGACCATTTGATCTCTGTTATCGTGAAAAAGTACGAAGGGTGTTCCCTCTGAATCGAACTGTAATCGGCCGAGTTCTCTCAGGATTGGTAATAGTATCATGCTGGATCGCAGTCTCCCAAATCTTGAACAACAACAACAGGAACCGATTTTTACTAGAAAGACATGGTTAAAAATCAGAATTCGACGGTAACGACATCAAGCCACTGACAGAATTACTGTTGTGTTGTTGTTATTGTTGAAAAGAGCCCAATTGTAATCAGACCCGAGAAGAAAAGGGAATTAGGTCAAAAGTACTCCACAAAGGACCGAGAGGCCTGTTCGTCCAATCAAAAGGGCGACCATCTTGTATATCAGTCGTTTTTGCCGATGCGGTAAAGACCTGGCAAGGTTTTCAAATCCTAATATTTCGCTTGCGCTGGAAAATAAGTTTTGACGCAGGCGATTGCCTCATTCAGACCCTAAAATGCATGTATCAATTCAGTTCATTCAGAAAAAGGAATAAGACTTCTCAGTAATATTTTATAATCTGGCGACTAATAAAACCTAGAATTTCTTTAGGGTAATGTATTATATGCAAACAGAGTAGTTAAATTGCAACACTAGAAGATGTTACCTAGTATACTGCTTCATGTTAAACATTTGTTTGTTTTTTTAGTCACCGCGTGTAGGTGGAATAAAAGTTTACAGGGAAAACATTGGCCGCAACGAGATCATCATGGACATGGATCTCATGTAAGAAGGTCTTTACTATGGCGTTTAAAATTGTAGTTAAGACTGTGTGAGCCGATCTATTTTGTTGCACTATTGTGTAGGAATCATTATAATTAACTATATAATAATTATAGTAGTACAAGCTGAAGTATTGAGGTGAGTGCAGTGGTTTTTTGTGTGAATGCAATGTTTCGCCGTACCCCTCACGACCAGCTGCTATAAATGATCTTTTTCGAGTTAAAGCAGAAAACCTTTTCATGGTATATCAAAAAAAAAGGCAATATATATGGAAGATGCTAGCGAACTGTCTTTGCTCTGTGGAAACACGGAACGGGTTGATATAGATGATATGAACTTTTGCCTTCCAATCAATTTCACGATTTTCTATTGGGTTTGCGGTATTGTTCTGCGGAATAACAGTTATAGTGGCGACTGCAGCTTCGTGATCAAGATCAAAGGCTTTAAGGCCGGCATACGCGACGTCCAACTTCGTGGACTTTTGCGCGTTGAGCTGCGACCGCTCACAAAACAGATTCCACTTGTGGGAGGAGTAACTGCTTGTTTTCTTCGGCCACCGGTAGGTCATCACTGGAAATGGGACGCATGCCTTAAAACTTGCTGTTAAGTGTTAGTAGAGTAGTATCAAGACGTCGTATTGGTTAGAATCATGCAACGGCTCGAATATTATAGATCATACCAACTAGTGAAATAAGTACACTAATTGTTAATCAATTTCTATACCGTTGCCATATTGCTTTCCAGCCCGCTGATACGAAAAGGCGCACGGTATTTTACTCTAAACCCCTGATTACCATCAGCCTTGGCTCGTCTACGAGTCCCAAGAGTTGCGAAACGGGCGGACCGACCTATTTTGACTGTAAAAACGCGTTCCCGTTCATTAAGCGAAAGGAACGGCTTCAATAGAGATTGCAACGGAATTTACTTCCAGAACTTCTCTGAGCTTAGCAAAATGTGTCTATCAAAGCCGCAGCCTCACAAAACCAATCCCCAACTATTTCGAAATTATTTCCCGTCCTATATATATATACATGTCATATGCAAGGCGTATCTCTGCTTGAGGAAGTTACGCATAACGAACGTGACTCTGTACAGGACTCAGCTACAAAGCTGAGTGAGACCATTCACGCGTGTTTAGAAAGAATACTTCACTTTAATATTAATAAAAAAGGGCAATGCGTTTATTGTTTACTCTTTCGTTACTAGACATTCAGACATCCATGGCTAAACAGGCTTGATTGAAGGTCGATCGTACAAGAACTTACTCAGGTCAATGTGCAAGAATTTTGGATACTGGTCCAATTTCGAAAACCGTTGTGTTCAAGGTCAATCAGCCCGCAGTAGTGCTTTTCAAGCTTCTCTCCAGTTGTATAAGGATTGAATAATAAAATAGGTGACTAAGCTCATTGTGCGCTTAGCGCATTTAATCGAAATGAAAGAGTTTTGCTTTACCACCACTCTCTCGAGTGATTATGCCACACGAAATAATACCGAATCGTTGGTAGGCTGATTGAGGCGGGAGCGCGCTCATCTTCGTCTACTCCAAGCAGAACCCTTGGAAAACAATTTGTCTAATGCTTCCATGCGATAGGTTGCTCCAGTTCGTCGAAGAAGTAACTGTCTTTGGGCGAGACATGGCTTCGTTTAGCGAAGCTGTCCGACCAAACGCTATTCTATTAATAGTCTATCGTGGTATTCCTTAACTTTTACTAATATTTATGTGCCACATTGCCTATTACATGTTGAATACAGTTGGTGGACTTCACGTTGACGAACGTCGGAGAAATTATGGAGATTCCTGGTGTCAACGACCTGCTCAAGAAAGCCGTTACCGACCAAATCTCTCAAGTGCTAGTTCTACCGAATAAGTACACATATCGGGTGATCGAAAGTGTTTCTGCTCATACGCTCAAGTATTCTTTACCGTCTGGCGTCCTTAGAATTCAGGTTAGTAGTGCTCACCTTTGTCGAACCTCACTCCAGACTTGAGCGGACGAACTACGAACTACGAAGCTGGAGAATAACTTCAAATTGTTACTTGTGTTATTGGCACCTCGTCGCAGAACACTATCTATCAGACAGGTCATCTTTGCTGTTTCATTGATTAGCTAAAACAGAAGTTATTATGTCTAGGTGTGAAACCGTTATGCAAGTAGTTGCCAAATTGCTTCTAATGTCTTCTAAAATGCATCTGTGTTATTCTCTGCTCCACATTGCGATCCTATACGAACAATGTCTTTCGCTTGCTTCTGACATTTGTATCGCTGGAGAAATGTTATCTTATTTTGCCTTTCAGTTAATGCAAACATAGGCCAAGTGAACCTTGACCTTTCATATTGAGACTATTTGTCCACTATATATATATTCAATATTCGTAATAATTCCGTGTGAAGTCTATACCTGTGTTGGCGTTTAAGATTAATCCGTTATTTGCCACACGCTATCCTCAGGGTAGTTTGCTCCGTCTCTAGAACGTTAGAGTTACATATTGAAGGAATTCGCACAGAGTATGCAAAATGCGTTACCCTTGTCCTATGGACAGTTGCCTACAGTTGCTGCGTTTGGTACGGGGTGCACATAAAAAAAAAGGTCTAGTAGGAACATTTTTAGTTACACGCTAAATTGTATTTGATTTCGGTTGAAATGTGTATTTGACTGGGATAGGGATAATATGCTACAGGTGCACCACGTGCATTGAAGACAGAATACGAACAGACAGCTGCAGTTTATCGCCAGTTATATGAAGATTATGTGAAGAGTTAGTCTGAAGCTCCCATGATGAATCGTCGTCGATCGCACGGTGCTAATCCATTATCAGATCGATGAATTTGTTTTTAGTGGCATCTCAGTAAGCAGTAGCCGTGCTTGGCTCAGGAAACGTGTTCTTCTATCTTCCGATACTTGACTTACTGATTCTGGTCCTGTCAACGTGCAAACGCCCCGTTCGCTTGCGGATATCGTATTATTATTATTACCACGTTAATAAATGTCGAATATTTAATGATGAATTTCTGAAACGAGCAAATATGGCTTTCATTGTCTTTGCGGACGTGAATTACTGTTAATGGGCATGATTTGGGCAGTTCTATATTACATATTCCGTGGAAATAACAAGTATCGCTTTAATCATATCCAGATCTATATACTCACACGACGACCGCGTCTGCAGGAGTACAAAGCAAGCTGCGCCTTGCACGACATCTACAACCAGGTCGAGTGACTTACCTCTTATGGATCCATGCTCAGCTCTACCACTGAACCCAATTCTGTCTCGTAATTAGCTGGTCATTGAAATAGACTCATGGTGATGTCGACTACGGCGGCATCGATAGATGGCATTTCTATACGCTAAGCAGAATCCGAGACATGGGGCATACAATAGATGCGTACTGTTAGGCCGGCTTTATTTTTGATCGCTAATTCTGCGGCATTGTCCTGTCGCTAGTGTCTCTCAAAATATTGTCCAGCAGGTCTCCCATCGGGAAACGCCATCGGATGAAACATGTACATCGTACAGTTGGCTTAGTGCGTCTATGAATGGCAACCTTGACAAATATCAGATAGTTCTCTATGTTGATCCGAACTTGCCCAACAGTAATATCAAACGGTATGTCTATGAAATGGGAAATATTATCGTTAATAAATGTTTTATATAAAATGCATACTGTTAAATAATCTCCTTTTAAACGGCTTTCAGGAATACGACACGTTTGGTAATTTAGAGCATTTCGTCTCCTCACGTCACTGCTGATGCGTGAACGAACCATATCGCTAAACGGTCAAATAGGTGCAATCCTAGAAGCTGCTAGATCTATTTTTAACACTTAATATTTACAAAGTAAAATGGATGGAAGCACTTACTTACGGTAGAGGAAATTAAACTATGAAAAATATGAATGCTAGGAAGAGGCAACGATTTTTTAGAGGTGATCAAAAACAATAATCTGCGGTAGCTTTCTGGGGCGCAGCGATAATGTATAACATGCTTACGATAACCATAGTGGGGTATGGCTCCCTTTATTTGCTCCTTGTTTAGGTTATCGAGGCCGCTAAACTTGTAAAAGCTGACATCGGCATGCTGGGGATGGGGAAAAGCGATCCGTATGTAGTGTTGACAGGTGAGTACTGTTTTTCGGGTGGTTCACAATGAACCCTTGAGCATCTTTTCGCTCTAGGTACCAAAATAACTGTTTTCAGTCTAATTATCCTAATATTAATTCCATAATATCACCTCTGGTAATTAGCGCTACGGGCCTCGAATGACCAACATCATAACAGCATCCGCTTCACATTTTGACGTCGTAATCGGTTATTGATAAGGGCAAATATTATAGCGAGGCCGAGTGGCCTAGATACGGTTAACTAAACGATAACGAGTGACCCCTAATGCATTGGCTGTGATTGTCGCTAAGTGTTGCTATCATCCGGGCCTATACTAAATGATAGAGAGCGATATCACAGCGTACAAGATTAAGAATGTCCTACATATTATACAATACTTATAATACGTAACACGCGAAGTACCGGGTCAGTCTGTCCATTCATAAAGAAAGGTCACATTTATAACTAATAAATTAATACCAGTCGGCTTAATTTTGTCATAATACATTATTTGCACCGAGCTCTTCCCTTTTCGATAACTATGCCTTGCCCAAACTATCTTTCGTACTCCATATATATTACTTAATATGAAATCGACACATGCATGGGACGGTGTATGCTGCACTGGAGGTACGTGCAGTGTAGACGGGCAAGTAAGCCAGCTTCTTCTTCTTAGCTAAGCTTTCGAGAAACCTGACTTGTAACATGTTTTTTACGTAAATTTTTGCTTGACGTGTTGTGTCCATTAAATATTATGCTGTCCATCGTGATGGGGGTTGAAGCATGACGTCCACATTTAATGTGCGGCAAATGTAAACTGGATCTCATATTCCGGCTCTATTTCGCACATACTGACATCTTGAATTTGCATGTCTTTCGACCATGTTCCAGTTGGAAAGACGGAATTCCGAACGCAGGTTATTCCCTCAACGATTACGCCCCGGTGGGATTTTTCGTGCGAGGCAGTTGTTCATCAGTTACCTGGATCTGTACTCGACATTGAAGTATACGATGAAGATCAGTCGTCAAAGGACGATTTTCTTGGAAGGACTGCCCTCAGCATACCTGATCTTGCCGAAAAATGTACAGCAGACATGGTTAGTATCTGCACGAAAAGCTCTGATTTTTATTTAGACGGTAAGTAATAGAAGAAGTAATAGATGGATTGCAACTAATGGTCTATGCTTCATTCCTTGTAGCATTAATCAACTTCTTCAAATTCTTATCGTCATTTGTGGATAAAAATGTTTTCAGAACGTAAACAATGAAAGATTCGGCTAGAGATATGTGTACGCTCGATGCTATCTTTGCTAATAATAATTGTTTTGATTGCTTTTTTTTCAGTGGCTCAAGCTAGAGGCTGTAAAAAGTGGACAAATCCATATTAGGACCGAGTGGGTCACACTCAGCGCCAATCCTGCTGATCTCGAACGGGTACTGTGTCAGAAAATTGCTACGATTCCGTATACTGTCGTAACGCGGTCTACCAGAACCCGAAAGTACAAACATCAGTCATTGCCACACTAGGTTTTCCCATAATGATATGCTCAATAGTTACAAGTGGGTAGCAAAGAGCAGGCTATAAAGAAATGTTTTTTGCATTACTATAATTCTATCACATGAAACGTGTTTCGCATGTTTTGGTACTAGCTGTTAGAGAATCCTTAGTCTCCACATTTCACAGTCAGCCACCATTGGCAGGTAATCGATTTTCGCTCGTCAATCCGTTCATCTGTTTCGTCCTAGCTTGGAAACCTTTTCCACTGGGCCTTAGGGGGAATCTGGTGAAATACTGGTATACATGTTTGTCGGTTGCGCGACAAACTAATATATTAATATTTCAACAATCCTAGAGCGCATAGTTTCTAAAACGGGTGATTTGAAAATCTTGTTTTATCAGGGATAAACACCTGTAGGGATTACAATTGGAAAAAAACATCTTTGCACTTTACTTATAAGCATCAAACTCGTAAGTTCAAACTGCTATATACGTTGATATACTTGCAAAATTAGGAGCCTCTTAGATATCATCATGTTACCGATTGTGACATCAAAATGTCTAACCTTCAATCTCCAGCGCGGCGTTTGAAACAGTTGATGAGCCTGATAAGCCTTAATTATATAGACGACATCTGCTCGAATGCACTTTATGGCTAGACGACTAATCAGTCAATTTGGAATCCATCAAATAATTACACGGAAACTTAGCCTAAAATGTATAAGTCTCCGTGTGATTATTTGATGCATTTGTTTTCATTATTATTAATTTTAGTTATTTTGGTTAAACGGGATGTTTTATCATTGAAATTCAGGGTTATGGGCCTAAAGGTGATAATATACAAAGTACTGAAAAACACGGAAACTCACCGGGCTTTTGCTTGATAACATGAATTTCAGGAATTGGAATACAAACGTTCGCTGACGTCGAACCACCAACATTCGCTCGGCCTAATCGCCGTCTTTCTGGACTGCGCCTCCGCACTCCCGGTGACTAGTCCTATTTCGCTTATATAACATCAATAATTGGTTATGGCTACGTTCAGTCAGCGCCACACAAACAGACACACAAATAAATAGGTATGGTAAAAGGTGGGCCACTTGACTGTTCGTGGGAGTAGCATACCGGCGCAGCTTGACCATTCGTCAAAAAAATAAGCCGCATCCTATAATTATTTCTATTATTGTGCCGTCCAACTTGTGGACAGGACACAACCACTTGCAGGATCCTGTCTCTACCAGTGTGATCTGTAACTGTAAACACATGTTCTAATTATGACATAGGAATTGTTTTTAGGCATCGTGCAGATTCAAAAAAGGTCAAGGGATTTCGTACTAAATCGTCATGCTATTCCCTTGACTCTTTAGCGGGTTACTCAGTTTCAATCCGACCCGGATACGCCCGTGACGACAAGCGACGATGAACGGCAATTACGCGGAGAAGGTTGTGGACTTGAAAATAACGATGGGCTTATTTGGCATATGTTCGCGCCGTTCAAGAATTTGGCGATAGATTTTAAACGTGCCCTCCAGGACCACGTCTCGCCAGTTAGTAAGGTTGGCAATAAGTCCTGGTTTTGGAGTGGTAGGTCTAGGAAAAGCGTACTGAAGATCAATAGTACCGCTAGGGGGCTATATGTCCTTTGGTCCTGCGGTTTTTAAAAGATCGAAATTCCTTTTTTGCAATCTTGCTTTGAATTGCTAACGCGCTGGCCGATGTGACGTTACCTCGCAGATGTTCTCTATGAGAACAATCAGGGCTTCCTGTCACCTAGTCCGTCTCATTTTAGGCGGTAAAACCAGTTGTTAACAAGCCTGATGCTGGCGACGTAGGGCATTTAGGGGTAGGGGGATATTTATGAAGTGACGATACCGTGCATAAGTTTTACGAAGACACGCAGACGCTTAATCATTCGAACGATAGACTTCTCTTGTATTTAGTTGTAATAAAATAGTATTGATGATTTTGTAAGTTTTAATATTAATTATCCTAATCTGAAGTGGTATAAAGTGTGTTTTACGTCTATTTTTCTAGCTATATTTCCGCGAAATGTTCGTTCTCTAAACCTAAACAAGTCTCATTCGAGTACTATACCAGGTTTAATTGCCGAAACACGACGCTGGCTTCATACGCTAGCAGTTTCACACGCTCAACATTTACGAACATACTCACCATAGCCTATATATACTTATCACTGTAAATATATGTACAATGTAATTATACCGCTTTGTACTTACCCTCTTTATCCCGCCTTCTTCTCTTGGTCCTAATCTGTTGCCCCTCGCTATTCGTTGACATCGGAAGGTGGGCTCGAAGGCAGCGGAGCCGTCGTGTCAGGTAGTGCTGAGCGTTGACAAAGAGGAACGTCGGAGCACGATCGTGGCCAATTCGATCAATCCTGTCTGGGAAGAGACGTTCTCATTTCTGTGTGCCAACCCCGATATCGGCGAGGTGAATGCGCGAGTCCTTGACACTAAAAGTGGTCAATGTGTTGGTAGTGCCTCGGTCAGCACAGCCAGACTCTTAAAGGAGGGCGACATGCGTCTCGATGAACCGCTTGCCCTCAAAGGAACCAACAACGCCAAGCTTATGCTTACACTCCAGCTTCGCGTACGTATTGTTTGAATTAGTATACATAATATGTGTAATGTATGCAACAATGTATTGGGTTGTCGATAGTGTTGACCAAGTAATACCATTGCACAGGCCGAAACAGACGGTACAAGATACGGGTTACACAGTGAATGTGTTAAAGCTTCTCGTCAAGTTTATTTGGGATTTTCTGCGGGTAGCTAAACATGTACGTTATTATCGTTCTGGTCGGATATTGGTGAGTGTTGACAGTAGAGGACTGAATGTTAGGAGGCAGCAGTTCGTAGCTTCTGAGTCCTTCCTATTCGTCAGTCTGGGCTCTGGCATCGATTGTGAAATATATTTGTTCTTCTTTTTTATTATATTATGATTACTTTTGATCATCCGTAATCAAGCTCTTTGGAAATGACTTGATTTCGTTGTGTTTTTGAAACGTTTCAATACGATAGAGTAAATTTCATTTGCGTCGACTCGTCACGGACCTAAATGTTAAGTTTTTTTTTTGTAATCAGCTTTGTTCAAATGGTCTAAAGGTGTTAGGCGATATATTGGCTACTCACGCGTCAGTTTTGTAAAAATTCCCACAAAATGTTTTTTCGTATTTGGTCGATTACTATGAAAGGCGTCCTTCGCATCGAAATTCCAGAACGAAGCCGACGGGACAATCTTTGGGCCGTTTCCCTATAATGCACTTTGACCATAAACGGGACAATTTTTCAAGGCCTGAATAGACCTCACATTTTTATCGTAATATAAATGTATAACTTAGCAATTTTTTCTTGAAGTTCTTGAAGAAAGTTTTTAGGATTAGTGAATCTTCAAGACACTATATTAAATCTAGCTAGAACTGTTTTGACAATTTTGTACGTCTACTACTGCCAAATCTCAAATTTTAAATGACAGACATTTATTTTATCTGAGACCTTATGTGACTTCAGACTATCGAACGCTCAATAATTTTCCGACAACCCAATATATATACATTTATACAAAGTGAAACACATATATATGTATATTGAAGTGCACCAATAGTGTTAGATTATGCACATAAACATGTTATGCTCCTAAGTAAGGCCAAGTAAGGAAGCTTTTTGCTGGACCTAAGGAGTCGTAAAACATGAAAACGCGATTATTATTATGCTCCCTTAGACTGCAGTTTAAATTAACTAAGGAGATTTCTATAGTATTATTCAGTAGGATGACAAGAATCATAACGTGCAATAATGTCATACATCAGGAAAACCGTCATAGCTATTACGTCGATGTATAAGTAATGCCTACTTCGGCTTATTGCGTTCCTTCTTCATCTGCTGATTGTCAGGCGTCGTATAGCGCACAAAAAGGATCATTTGCCTCAGATTTATGGTTTCATTTAGATTACAAGCTTTTACTATACCTACTTAGAACTCTTTTGTGGTGCGTGCGACCAAGACTACAGCTGAGGATACTATCCAGAAAGGGCTGACTGAATGAAGAGATAACGTCTTCGACTTCACAAGCACATTTCGGCCGAACTCCCCAAGATGGATTTGAGATAATAGTTATATAAGCTTACCTGTTATGCAGTTCTTGACGTACAAAAAATGGATATCCGGCGTTGTTGCATTGCAGGATATTTGGGGCGCCAAATAAAAGTAAAATTGTATGATTCGAACATCGATGGCGCCACCTGTATAAAGCGGCCAAAAGACTTACCAAGCGGCATAACGCTCGATCAGCACTAAATGAGAAATAGTCAGGCTAAATAATAAGCACAGCCTTTGCCTATTCGCAAACCCAATCAACAGGCTTGTAGTTAGGCCAGGGGTCTCTCCTCAAATTGAACAAGTGCATCAAAGATGGAGATGTTGTTACATTTTAACGCATTTTCATATGTGTATGCCTTTGAAGCCACGATATCTCATATTACCGGACTATACGCAACCAATTGGACGAATCAGCCGTTCTGCACTGTGATTCAACGGCGTTTGCCGTTTGCAAACAACGGGACACGTTTAACTACGCCGGTTCAGTGCTAGACGTGTCAAATAGCGTTACATTGAAATGTAACAAGGGCTTGACGGGTAACATCGGCCGACAGAAATTCATCCAGTTCAGGAGTACCCTAAACAGTGCCAAGTAATTAATAGGTAAAAATGCTCGTTATACAAGGTTTATACATTATCCGGTTTGAATATTCTCTCATTATGAGCATTTATTTGATGGCAGATCAACAACTTTTGACCGGAATGCAATATAGCAACGACTGCGCAGTAAGTACGTTACAGTAGTATATTGGCTAGAAACTTGATTATAGGTAAAGAATAGTCAAATATATAAACTTCGCTGCTCGTAACCGGAAGCTTGTCGTCTAGCTATCTAAAGATGGGTAGGACAGACGCCGGCGGATGTCTCTTGTGTGGAGATAGATAGGGACATACATGATATAAACAAAACTCAGCCCGTATGATCCATTGTATGGTACCACGTAACTGAAATCACATCCGCTAATGTCATCGTAGTTATAGGCTGACCTCCCGGCACATGTGGGAGTGAGTATTCCTTTTCATTAAGTAATGATTGTTGCGGGTTTTATGTCCGTCAGACGTTGATTACTGCCGTCAGATACTGCTTCAGAGTTCTTTCGTTCGTCTATATGTGCATATCTGGCTCTCAGCTGGTCAGCTCTGGTCGGCTGCAGGTTACTAAGTGATGCAGATTAGGATACGTACACTGACCCTAGGCTACTGTTGCAAGCTGTCTTCCTTTCGGAGCGGCATTCACGTCCCTGATATTATACTAGCATTAGCCGTCGGGCGTGGCCTGAAGAAATTTTCTTGGCCATAGCAGAGTCTCTCATGTAGAGACCTTAAGTACCAAGAGAGCCGAGAGAGAGTTGGCGAGAAATGGGGCGGAGCAGATGAAAACGTGTGGCGAGCGGGAAGAGCACAGGATATAAAGGAAGAAAAAAGTCAACAAAAAATGGCGATAAAAAGGGAAAACAAAGGAGACAACAAAAGGGCGAGAAGGAAAACGAAAAGGAAACAGCTAAAGGCAGAGAATAGTGGAAAGGGAAATTGGAACGAAGAAAGGAAGAGGCCAAATATTCGTTGACGTGCTAAACGTGCCCGATGTCGTGCATATGTATTCGTTTAGTCTGAACCAGATCTTGCCAGAGGACGGCGGCAAACTTGTTTTATTTCGAATTAGGGCTATGTTGCTTTTTGCTGTCTCAACAGAATGCGACTTCGTGAGCACTGTTCATCCTATTGTTCTCTATCGTTGGAAGCGTGTGTATGATCCTGTTTCAACGAAGAAAAGGAAACACATATTAATGATTTTGTTGTCCTTTAGTATAGACATAACCATTGGTTTTATGAAGTTGTTGGCGAATGCTTTACCAGCGCTAAACTCCTACGGATATCTCTATACGTACTATACATAGACATATTTAGAGTATGGCTAATCAAGTATAATATAAGTATATATAAGTGCATGTGTTTGAACACTACAATGAATGAGTTTGATGTCTCACAAGGGGGGGCTATCAGTCCGGCTGTTGTCTTTAGCAAATGTAAATAAGCTTAATAGTTAACGAATTCAGCCATAATATGATGAGCTTAGTTCGTCTCTCATTCATGTTTTCTATTAAAACTCGATTCAGTGCGCTGACATTTTCCGTGATACTGGCTGTACTTGTGCAGATTCTTCAAAGCAGTGGCAATTTGGTAGGCGGTGGCAATCGCTCGACCACACCCGGTTATTCGCGTAGTTCGTCGGGGCAACACGGCGATTATCCGCCGTCCGGGGAAGGCGGCTCAGTAGTCAGCACACAGGGCCCTTCTACACACACGTTTGGGAGTGGCATTGTGCCCCTTTCGCAGAGTGGCATGCCCTCAACACCGCGAAAGACTGAGCTACCTTCGATGGATGAGATGGTCCATTCAACCATTTCACCGATCCTCGAAACTTTCCATGGATCCCGAACGAGTCTCCAAAGGCCCACCCTGAGGTATGTGTCAGGACTGACAACAGTTAAGCAATACTGAAATAATGTTTTTAATTCAAAGTCAAATTTTCAAACATTGTACGGTTTTATTTAGTCTGACATATGCATAGTATAGCAGTATATCAGTTAAGAGCACAGAGTAGATGAATCTACATCCAATCATATTGTTGCTCCTCTGTCTGATGCTTTTTCAGCCCATCGTTAGGTGGCCTCGGCAGCTCCTCGACGTGGAACACGCAAATGCGTGTCACCCTTCGATATAGCCCTCCCCGAAACAGACTCGTGTGTGTTATACATCAAGTCAAGTAAGCGACAACAGGCAGTAGGCAGTAATCTGCTCTACTGGGAAACGGCTGTCAACTCAACTGTTCAATGGGGCTTTACCCCAGAAAAGTTGTATTATTTTTCTTTATTTTATTTAATGAGGCCTGTCGTGTGATGTCATTGACAAAATTCGAGGGATTCCCCATCCCCACCGGTCTCACCAACCAGAGGTTTTTTTAGCTTTATTCCAGCAAAAAGAAGCTATAAAATTCTAGACAAATTTTGTGTCTAAAAAATTGAAGAAATTTTCCGTCGAATTTTTTTCTTTGTGTCTATTAAGACTGTAATTGTTTTTTTTCTTATGACCTCAGCTTCAGTTTACGCGGTATCCGTTTGTGTTTTGTTGTAAATATTGGGAAGAGTCGAACGAGTATATTCGCAACTTCTTTAAGGAGTTGCGAATATCCTCACTGAAGCCAGTCATTATTAGCTCTTGCAGGTTTAAGAGGTGAACGTTAGAGATAGATTTTTGTAAGTCTTTGGGTTTCTTTAGAGATTTGCCACCGCCTGTGGTGGCCAGTGACGAAGAAGAAGTCTACGTCAAGGTGCAACTGAGTCCGTGCGATACGGTAAAACACAAGGAAAACTGGCACAAAACACGGCCGATCAGGGTCAATTCTTCCGGGATCATCGATTTTGACGAAACGTAAGTTAACTGTTATTTGACTGGTATAATGTAGATCTATTGTTTTAGTTTCAGCGCGTCCAAATAGCAGCCTATTTTTTTCCGAATCTATTTTCGGTCAGATCCAAAGCATTTTTTCCAACATCACAAACCCCTTCACCTTACAGATATCAGGACTTCTTCCCCCCCCCTGTACTAGCTATACAACCGGTTTGTACTTAGAGATGATTTATGAGATATATCAAATCAACAGCGAGCAAAATGTGAAAAAGTCAACAAAAAAACAACAAAATGTACATTTACGATCAAGATAGGAGAGGATAAAACCGTTCGCAAACCGTGGACCTTGCACCTTACTGAGCAACTGCCAAGTAACAACTGACTAACACCTGCGTGCTTAATGTTGTAGATTCTGATTAGCGGTCCCTCTGTAGTTCAAACGAGCGGACACAGACTTCTTCAGTTTCCGCTTTAATTCATGAGGTCAACGGTTGGCGTTTCTGTTTTGCGTGCTACTGCTGTAGTTATTGCCGAACCGCTGTCCTGGCGTCGAGCGGGAGTAAAGCTGAGCGAAGTAACGCCCTTTCTCTGTTCTCCTGACAATTTTCCGAGTCGACCTTACCACTGAAATATTGTACTTACAATTGCACAAGTACAAGTCCAGCACCTCGGCCTGTACGTACAGCAGTTTCGTAGAGTCGGCTACCAAATCCAATTTCCCGTACCACATTAACATGAGCGCTGATTCGTCGCATACGGCGATCATTCGCTGGCCTTACACTTGAATCGTGTACAAATAGCATGCTATACATTGTACGCAGACGATTAAAAAGGTGCGCCTCGATAAACGTTACTCGTATCACTCTCGTGTTAGGAAACGTCGTATGGGCCGACGAGCTGCTTGCGTAACTTACCGTTACATCATTGCAACTAGCTACGCCAGTAACTGGACGTTGACGAAGCTGCCATTAGTACTCGGAATCGGTAAGCAAGATGGCTATTTTGCACACGGAGTACAGGAAGTGGCTCTTTAAGGGATAAATAAATGTCAACACAGCTAAGAACATTGAAATGCTCTTGCGTTCGATGTCGATCCCTGTGTGTGAACTTTTATCTTTCTTAACCTGGGCAAACGTAGGATTTCAATATGCAATAACAGTATGGGAAAACAGTATCTAGTCAAACTGCCCCATGATCAATGTTACACACCGTTACCATTTGCTGTGCTGGGTTTTTTTCGCATAACTGGGAGTATTGAAATGACCGAAAACAGAACTGCATTTGCTACTCGGTCACAGCCGGACAAAAAATTGCTAATCATGGACTTTGCTCTGTACATATATCTCCCTCAAGCAACCTATCTCGTTAGATAAACAATGTAAAAATGTTTACTTTTCTATTGTACACATATATATAAAAAATATTTGGGGGTTACAACTTCGTCGAGCATTTTGCAAGCTCCACTGGCACTCAAACGATTAGTTAACGTCATCATAATCATATGTCATTGAAATCGTGTTTATATCGCTCTTTTTGTCATCACGAAATCAGAAGTAACTTCGTTGTCGAGGTATAAACACGGTACTTAGAGAACTTAACCAACATTTACAGCCATTACGTACATCACGGACTTAGTACAGGGTCGCCAACCAACAACAATGTAATTTCTTTTTCCATTTTATTTTTCTAATTCTAATTCTAATGAGTGCGTATAATAATTACCATAGTAACCAAGCTGCCACAGCGAAAATTGCCGTGTAATTCTATGACTGTATTGGCTAAGAGACTTTTCTCTGGCCATACAAACGCTACGATTGTATCTTCTTGGCGTGCGTTTATCGATCTGACCGGTGGTGACTGGACCAATCTAAAATGACTTCCAGTTTTCCAGTCTTAATAAGACTGAAGGCTAGTGCAGGCAAAAACAGGCCTCACGATCAAGCGCTTTCCATAAGTCGGGACATTGAATAGGGAAAACTTCGCTTGATCAGATACCCAACATGTGGAGGCAAAGTAGTTATCAAACAATATACGGCAGGGAAAAAAGTATGGCTTACGATCTGGCTGTCTGCGAACGTTATTACCTGTGTGCGTTCAAGATAGGAAAATAATAGTGATTTGAGTTCTTTGCTTTGAGATCAACGTATCGATGTTGTTCCGTTCAAACTGTTAACCCCCAGTAGAGCGAGATTAATCTAAAGGAAAACCTTCCAACTGAAAGCAAAGAATCGGCGATCTGAATTCAAGAGAGCAGGAAACGGCTGTCGAGCGCGGCAGAACGGTGACACTGGTTTCCCCGGCAACTTAGGACGATCATTGCCCTACCATAGCCTTGAGTTATCGCAAACATCTGAGAACGTGTACATACAATCAACATACAAGACGTTGGTCAGTGTTGTGTTTAATAAACACCGCGACCGCAAATAGGGCGTGCTATAACATTTCCATTGTTTGACATGCCGGTTACATGCTATCATTTTCCGTGTCAAATCTCATTGCGTTTAACTCTACATACAAAGTTTTCGAAAAGCCTAGAAAGAAAATGATGACTACCCACAAATTGTAGAGTTCACTTAGATATTCAGTTCTGAAGCAAAGCCCATATGAGCTAGCGAAGCGACGAATCGCCCACTGTTTTACGATGGACTAAGGACGTAGATGGAGTCAAAATTTTGACATAGCAAGTACTCAATAGAGTAGCCTGTAGCGAGTATACTTTAATGAAAATTGTATAGTCTTTATGCAGGAACGAAGAATAAAGTAAAGCTTAACAGTAGCTTGTATCGTTTTATTTATCGTAATCCATATCTAATGAACCAACTTTGAATCAAAATTGGTTCATTTCGGCGGCTCAATGATAACGACGAAAAACTAACTAGAGTACCTGTTTACTAGTTCTATCCTATATATATATATATATATATATATATATATATATATATATATATGTAGAAAGAAACTGACTTTTGTATCATGGTTCCTTGCACCTAACAACGGTTCGGCCCTAGCACATGGGGAGGTACGTTAAGGTAAAATATAGCCCTTTTATCTTCCTCACACCATAAAGTTAGGATAAGAGGACCCAAACCAATTGCGTCCGGATTTGTCGTAGTAAATCACGATCAAGCAAAGCGTTCAACTTCTCTTACATATATATTTTCGACACGTCGGATACACGCCCAGAATATGCCTTGGGGCTAAATTGAGCCGAAGATTGGGGCACATATCTATGTTGATTTTGATACGGAAAATTTTATGACATAAATATAGCATTAATGATCCACCATAGGTAGGGAATGGGCTATCACAGGACACATTGAAACAGAACGGCATGACCAGGTACGGTGCAAACGCATGTAGGAGGACAGCATAAAAGATGGTAATAATATTTCCCTTTGAGGTGGACGTTACGCAGACCAGTTGTACCTCGGCCGGCTAAGGCAACCCAAAGTTTGCCGGTTATTTCTAGACTGCCACGGAGCCTTAGAAGTTCAAGAGAAACAAAACACGAAGTCTCTTAGTGTCTTGTCCTCGAAGCTTTCGTGTAGTTTGAATGACAATGGTGGAAAAGGTTGGTGGACATTTGTTCCTAAGAGCTGCCTACCCAAGAAATAGACGGGTTGGTAGAAAAGCGAAGCGTTCAGGATTGAGAAGATCGTCGTTTGATTTATCGTGACAGAATAGAATTGTTTACTATGAGAATTGCCTTTTTACCTATAGCTCATTAGCTAACATGAGGACCAGTGCAATAGATTTGCGATGATCCAAACTAACCATGATATATCCGGAATGAATATCGCGGATTACCTATACAGAACCAGATATTTTAGTTAATACTGCTTACTTAAGAGAAACTTCGTTGTTATGGTCGATGTGTGTCTGTAACCCAACTACCTACAAAGGCCCATAGATATCCAGGCACTCCACAGGCCTCCTATTCAATACGGTTGAACACCTACTCTCGATAGCAGTAGTTAATGTTCGATAACGTAACGTTTTTTTTATTTGTTATGTAACGACATGCATTTTATAGTTAGTTTCGCTTCATGCGTCTCAAGTTCAACGTGGGTTTCCCCGTTATTTGAAATGTATCATCTTTGGTTAAATCAATAAGCTTCCATTTCCCGGTTGAATGATCCGTTTAAAAGCACCCAGATTTAGAGCGACATAGATCTCCTAACATCGTTCATGATGTGTCAATGTTTACAGCGAGCCGCTTGCGTTTAGCTATCAGTGAATACTCGCAGTAGACGCATCCGACGCTGTGTGTTTGTAGAAAAGTTTTCTAGCGCGGTTAATCTATAGTACTATTCGTGTTTTCAAAGGGACATTTCGTTATCGTTTCGTGTCTTGTTTGCCATTTTTATTATGTCATTGCTTATTCGTTACAATCATCTCTCTATGCAACGACATGTCCGAAACAGGTTGGAATTAGACGTGGCCGCTCACGAGCTAGCGTTGGTGTCCCTACAACTGCAATTACGGTGTCGCAGTACAAAACGTGCAAGCGTGTTTAACATGAATAAGCGAATCATAAACTTGAACCACAATAACGCCAAAAGAAAACTTTTAGGACAACTTATCCTATCACTGGATCAACTTAACGGAGTCACCGCACTCACGGAATGGTAAGTAAGCACTGTAACGGAAAAATTAAATGTTTTTAAAGCTTGGCATAATTCGTGTGCGACATCAAGATACTGCCTTACCGCAAATTAATTAAAGTATTAGCAGGTCTAAGACAACAGAGAAAGAAAAACTCAGGGCATTCGTAAAAACGACGCAAGATATCCGGTCGTCGAGAAAGTTCTAATCATTTCAAGTTAAATTCGAAGCAAATAGATTTTAGATTTCAATATCGTATTTGTAACAATGTCATTTTGATCTATGACTTTCTGCGCTTCTTCTGTAACATAATTCTAGCGTTTCTGTGCTTTCTGGGTGAAAAGCTCCGAAGCGAGACCATCTGACCATCTGTACCTCTACATTTAGAAATACAATTGAGTTTATTCTTTTGTATCAAGCTTTTTCTGTAGCCAGCTTTTTCATTTGATTGATGCAAACCTCATGGTAGTGGGCGTTGAGTTTCGTGGCGATATGGTATAGCTATCTACGTGTTGGTTTCGTTCAACTTCTCCGTAATTAGTCAACCACGAAAAGCATCGTTCGTACCGAAATTTTCTGAAAAAAAAAAAATGACAAAACTATGTTCAACCCACTTCTCCGGTGGCAATATTTTAATGGGCCCAAGCAGAATGTGTGCTTTTATCATGATAAAATTGAAAGTACGTTAAATTTCAACAGAACTGCACCTTCTGAGCCTAAATGCAGGTATTACTGCAGTTTTTTTTTAGCACGCTCAAACCGCACTGAAAGCCTGTTTGACGTGACTCATGACCTGAGACGTATGATACCGAGATTTCTCTCGGAATCTTAGGTTAATAAATCTAGTATAATGGGGGTAAGAAAAAGATCTTCATACAAAATATATCTATTCTGTAGCATATCAGCCTATTCGAATGGAATAATATCCGATTATCAATTACGAACTACATGAAATTCTGTCATAAATTCTAGGAAATTAGAGCAGACCTTTGTATAAAAATCCGACGCTACGGTGCTAGGCTACAGCAAGCGTGGAATATAGAGAACATAAATAGGGATCGAATTTACTTACCATAAAATGCTAGTTATTAGCTAGTACTGGTCATTTGCAATGAAGGTCAATCCTTGATCCTTTGGAGGAAGTAACAAGATTTCCGTGGGTCAATCTGCGGAAGGATCATGATTCAAAATTCGTTCACTTGGCAGCAGCGAGTGATACTTGTATGATGTCCACGTCGTAAGGGCCTTTGGGTCGAACGCGGGCAGATCGTGGCCGCACCCATTCATTGATTACCGCCTGCATTGGGCGCGCGTCGCCGGCATTATTCTATTTGACACAATTCGAAACTTGTGCTGTCGAGAACAAGACATGGCAATATAGGGAATCACTTCGTCCTTAAACAGAAGAAAAACAGAAATTTATGGGCACTGTTTTGAATTTTGAATAAAAATTTCAGTGTTTTTAATGCACGTGTCTCTATGGTATTTCAGTATCAATTGTTGCAGTATATATACAAACATTATAGGTCATTTCCGCTATACGCGCAATCGGTACGAATGATCAAGGGATTCCTATGATATTCACGTGCCAGTGGTTTCACAGCTCGGTCGACAGCCTCTTTCTTATGGAGAGCCCCGTATGAGAATCGAAAGAAAGACTATGGATGATCATGATACAAAAACTAGACTATGTGGACCTAAATGATATTGATGCTTGGTTAGACAGTAACGACGCCTGGCTCTCGTGGGCATCTTAATTCGAATACCTAGCCCATGATGACTGTCGATGTTTACTTTCTTTTTTATGCAGTCTCTCGTCTGCAAATTGAACCTAGGAGGTTCATGGGGTCATTTGCAAATTTATGGTCATTTGCTGAAGCGTCGTTGCTTCTCGTGAATACCCTCGCGATGAAACGATTGCGCTTATCTATTTCATAGACCACAGTGGTGGTAATTTCCAACTTTTGATAGTCGAGCAATCGATTATTGAAGGACAACTAGCTGAACGATTTGAACTACAAGATATACGTATAGCACACGTTTAATACATAATAACATGTTAGTGATAGACACTTTTCAAAATTGCGAAGATACCGACTTCCCTTAAATGCGATAAATTAATACCTGATACTGACTACTACTGATTTCGGTCAATTGTAATCAGCTAAAGTTTAACAATAAACGTATATCTAATAAGGAAATAGATCGAGGGTAGCATTCCGCTGACAGTAAAAATTATTCTTTCCTAATATATACATTACAAATGAAAAGTTTTAATATGTCAGTAGTTTTTCTATCCAATTTTGCTTACGAATACCCACAAGAACTGCATCAGATGTCAATTTGCTTAAAGCAGTTGTCGTATTCAAGCGAAAGCCAGCCCCACGTAGTCACTGGGTCTAGAAATCTTTTTTTTTCACACACGATATGCCGTTTCCGGCCATTTTCATATCTTCCCTTAAATATCTGCGTATGGCTTCCAGGTACTTCCTGTCGCCAGCATAAGACACCTTTCAGCCTCGCGTATCCTCGTCATCATCATCGGCCTTTGCCTTGACAGAGCTCACGTTCCTTTTCTCTAATAGGAATTAAAGCAATTCCTGGCGACGCAATTCCCGCATCGCGTCGATCCTCAGCGTCACACGGCCGCCGGAACAATAACAACGTTCTCTATCAGTAACTACCTGTACCTGTTGTTACAAAGGCTGAAGAAGAATGTACCGTGTAGGTCAGGCTGAGCCGACCTTCAGTCTTCACTTACTTCGATCTGGTGGTCAGGGCGTGCGTCAAATGAAACACTTCCGGAGTGAGATTTTCCTATAAAAGAGAAGCGCTGGTCAACGAATCGCTTCACGGTGCACCTCTGTAACAGCAAGGGCGTAACTAAAGAAACTATTAGTCTATTAGCACAATCACAGCCAGCCAGAAAGGGGAAGGATGGAAGTCGGCTTCTGAGCATCTGAATGATTGAGGCTGAATAGGTCAGGCCTTTCCTGTAACCGACAAACCAACTAAGCAGTATTTGACATTCCTGATATTTAATTCTGTGTGAATTTCGAAAGTGCATTGCGTCAGTCAGCGTGTCGTATCAGTATTACTAAATACAGAAGTAAAAAATCAACATCGATGATGACGGCTCTTGTTATGGTTCAAATGGCAGTAGAAAAAGATTGGGATAATGTAAGCTACGGGCTCATGCTATACGTGACGTAGGTTTCTTGATATTTGACGATTAGTAGGGTGAAATCTTTTTTGGATAATTTTTGCTATTTTTTTTTTTATTGCGACACGATTCGATAGTCGTAAGGGCCGAGGTCATGGCGCCATGTTGAGCTCCGATGCGCTATTATTATGTCGATTATCATCCGTTGGTAAGACATAACATGGACGTAACATGGCTGAGCACAACGGAATATATATAATACGATCCCCTAACGGGAATGACCTATAACTATAAATAAACGCATACATTGAAAGTAAGATAAAAAAAAAAACTTGTTGTTTTTTTTTTGAAAGTTTGATACCTCTTAGCGTTGTGTTATCTCGTACTTTATCCCTGCAAGCAACGTATGGCAGTCCATCAATAAAAGATTGTAACTGTCATACTGCAGTTCGCTTCAGAAATAGTCTCCACACTTTTTTTTTTATGTCATAGATATGCACAATTTCATTGTGCATATCTCTAGATATATAGAACTAATTCTATGAGTAATAGATATATTCATGTTACTATGGCATTAAAGCTATGTTCAGCAATGAATAGAAGCCAGCGAACTATCATTTCCATTAAACAGATCTCCTCGTTTTGCTTCGTCGCCCTAAGTTGTTATTTGCTAGTAGCATTACGTGTGGCCTCAATGTCAAGTAGAAATTATTACGTTATCTATTCCACGGAGGGTCGCCCATCAATGGAGCCCTTTGTCAGGTCAATTCCGGTCTTCATGAGCTTCGGGACCAACACCAACTTTGGGATAACTTTGCATTTGCTATTGTAGCTAGACTATTGTAGGTGCCCACCGCAGATAATTATAGCTAGCTGGTAATTACAAGACGATAATTATTCTATGTAGTTATTTCGTATCAAGGCACGCTCTCGTATTTGGCTTTATTGCTCTATCGATAAATAGGAAATGTCAAACGTTTTGGTTTTATAATTACAACAATCATAACAATGTTTTTAATGTTCTTCTTTATTATTTCGAAATAAAGCACTCGATTAATAATCATGCTGCGATTCATTTCTCCCAGTTCTTGCTGCCTTTTGGTACAACAACTCCATTTTGCTTTGATAAGGTTACTATACACGATTTGTGAGTAAAGTAGAACGGCCGCCACCTGTATAATAATACCACGATGCTGATAGTGACTGGTTAGTCATTATACTGAGCCCACAGTTCTGCTATCTCTGTACTGGCACACTTTATACACACATATATATATATATATATATATATATATATATATATATATATATATATATTCAATTTATCAAGGAAAGGTATAACCAATTACACTTAATGTCATCACATTGGGAATACATATTTTCTAAGAGAACATCTTAGCATAGCGTATCTGATGTTTAGAAGGCCGCAAAACTGATCAGCTCTTCATCTGATATATACGAAAAATATTTATAGCCAGTAGGTACATGTTGCGCTATAGAATCGTTCTGGGTTGGTCAACGTCTGTTGGCCCCATCCCCCCACTATCCCGACTACGATATCTGAAGCTGCCCGTTGACTAACAAACAGAACTTGGTATATTCTTTCGTTATTGTTAATGTTAATATAATTTTTGGTTGATGTTGCTTTCGTAAACGCCATATTTAAGTAGTTCAGAACGACATCTGTGAACTACGTATCATCAGTCTACGGTAATCAAATGAGCCTATCGGGTGTTTACTAACGTAACGCATAACATGTCAATAAGGGCTCACCGAATTTGAAATTTCACGCGTACAAGTGTACCCAAATATTCTAAGCTATTTCGGTCGTTGCACTACGTACAGCAGGGTGATCCCATATAAGATACTGACATATGGGCAAGTTAAGTTAAACAGTGAAGGCCCATTGCTACAAGCTGTAATAGCTTAGAAACGATGTTAGACGCGGGAAATTTGAAAAAAAAAAAACTTTTTCTCACTAATAATAATTAAATTATTATTATCGTTACGGGTCTTTTCAGTTACGGGTAGGTCACTGATAGTTTGGCCTTCATAATATACCGAAGATGTCATTTTTGTTATTTTTTATTTGGACTGCTATTTGTCAACTAGCTATAGAGTAGCGTTGAATTAGCCTATTGTACATGTCTCCGGCACTGGGCAGTACCGTTGAATGACTATTGTCTCATGCACATCCTATTTATTTCTAAGATATATATATGCATTTTTTTTTTCTAGTTGTGGTTTTAGTATGGGTTTATGTGATTCGTGTTAGTTTTCATCGAGGTTATTGTTAGCCTTCCGGTTAGGAATCGCATAGGGAGCTAGTGTTTTTAATTTAGACTTCAGTTGGGCATGAAGAAAAGGAAAATCTGACCTGTGTCGACTGGTTTATATACTAGATTTTTACAAACTTTTTTCGCTGCACTGTTAACTTATCGCCCACTGCAGATATAAAATTTTTCTATTTTCACTCTTACTTTGCATCTCTTAATTTTGTCCTTTTAAGCTAATACGTCGTACTTGAGTTAACTCGCTTGTCTCGTAATTAAACAGATAAATCGTCCTATTGCCAAACTGGACTGCGAACCATGTCTAGCGCAGAGCACTCAATCGGGCAACGTTAATCAATAAGTTAACAGACGTTAATTTTTTCAATATATTCCGCTGTCTCGAAGAGAATGTTCATGGCAAATGGTTAAACTGAGACAAGTCAACAACCAGTAAAGACCCAGGCCATGAAGCGCCAGAGCATAGGTTCGATACGTCTGTGATCTATGTTCGTCTTTGAATCTTCACTATGTATCTTTTCGGGTCAAGCCCTGTGCAATTAATTATAGCTAGTACAAGGCAACATGCATGTGCTTGATCTAAATCAAATATTCCAGATAATTAGATTAACGATAATATTAGAGAGACGAAGACTTCCCCCCCGAAGTGCGAATGCTGTCGTTGTTAACAGTAGAGTTAGACAGTCACACAACAGATACGATCACGATAGAATCATACCGACATTTTTAAATTGTGGCAATGATTTTATTTGTAAATCGTATCATAATTATCATCAGGATCCTCCGTAGTACTCTGATGGTCCTATGTTTGGTGGCACAGGGTCACTGAAGCGGCATTAGTAGATTTTAGATCCGGTCTATGAAAAATTAGCAAGTAGGTTAACGGGATCGATGCAGCTCGGTACAACAATTGTTTGACTGAAAACATAGCATAAATTCCTATTGGCCTGGAAACAGAACTTCTTCGAGGCTTTTCCTTTCGAACTTTCTTAGTCACAATATCGCCACACTATGTCTGGCTTAGTTCGTTGTTTTATCTCGGAAAATAAAGCAACAAAAAGCGTTGCGACTAAAGAACGGATAGTCAATAGGGCGATCGTGAACCGCTTAAGACGGTAGATAATTTCCACTCGGCAAGGGGTACTTTTTCTGTGCTCGATAGCTTCCACGTAGAATTTCAATTTGCTACTCTCTTAGTGTAAAATGAACAGCCCCGGATTATCAACACGCTAACAAACCTTGCTTATTTGACGTTGCTATACGAACATTTCATCTGAATATGTTCTATTAAAACCCATTGTTTTATTCCCATAGAAGATCGCTGGTACACATTCCAGATTCGTAAGGGGGTACGCGTGTCATGGGCAAAGAGCACCCTTACAATTTTTCGCTCAGCTTTCAAAGCTCCAAACTTGATTTCAAAGAAAAGAAAAAATGAGGTTAAGGTTTGCATGGATCCTTCAGATTTAAGAAACCTTCGAGTATACGTAATGTGATGCTGAGGAATAAGAAGATACGTATTACCGTTTCCAGGTACGTATTATCATTGCAAAGTTCGTCAACTATGCTAAGAGTACTTGCCTTGCCGTTTTTTCCAGCACGTTGGAACTTACTGCCTCAAGTCGTACTTCACATACGAGGGCTACCCTAGCCCTGATCCCTTCAAAACTTCCTTTTTTTTTAAATGTTTGCCTCTTTTTATTTTATCGCGAACAGTATCTATTGCCCCTGGTCATTCATTCATTCATTCCAATTAAACCGTAGAGAAGAAAAATTTTGAAAACACCAAAAAAGGCGGATCTACCTAGAGCCATTGTTTGCTACAGCACTGTATAGACTAATTGGTAGCTGTATACAGATCTATATAACCTTAAATTCTTCTGAGTTGTCTATTTCTTTGCGATTGTCCTCGTTTTGTCACCTATAAGTCTTCCCTATAAGTGTGCACGCAGCATTGGCAAATGCACCCAAATATGTCTTCAAACAGCATCCAAAAGTGACTGGACGAAATAGCCCAGCTGCCATTACCTAATGCTAATCAGTATAAGCCCGCCGAAGTCGATGAGCTTTGTGTTGGATGGTGACAAATCCATATGTACTAAGGGAGGTCCTTCGTAGAGGAATATACGCTTGACTGTGACGTGAAATTGTTGGGTTCTTGTCCATGTTATGTATGTGCCATTTGGTTAATCGGAGGAACGGTAGTGTAGATCAATTAGATGATTATTTCAATCGTTCGAAAAAATGTACCACTGCTAACCCTCGATAAATTTTTAAAACCATTGTACAAATACTAATGGAGCGATGCTTAGACGCTACGAACATAAGCCAAACTGTCCCTCTTTATTCTAAAACTTCTGATGATAAGGCGATATGCCGCAAGTAGATGGTACGACGATACACCGAATTGAAAATTTTCACATAATGACGTTGTCTACATTTTCGGCTATTTGGAGATTATTTTTAATAGAAAACATTCTCTATCTTTACTAATATTATTATATGGATTATAGTTTTAGCCCGTGTTTGCGCCATAGCTTAACTGGAGTACACTATCTATCTTCACTTTTCAATTCGACCCTTCGCTGGTAGCTTTAAAGCACGTTGAGAACAGCTGTGTGCGAAGAGTACACTTTACTTAACACCACTAAACGCGTAAGTCTTATCGTAAAGCTTGAAACTTGTTTCAGTGACGCAGCGATTTTTCAGAGTTTCTTCAGCGATCATGCGCCACTTGTCCGGGGAAATCGTGCCCACTTGTGCGGCAACAACATCCGAAGCACAATCTTCTTCTGTGATGTGCTTTACTCTTTACACAGCCGTCTATCTGCCTGCATCAGCACCCCGTTCAGCTATTGTATCCAATGGCTTCGTAAAACGATCGTGTTCACAGCTTATAAACATATCTGCAATCACATTTTTACTGTGTAACATGATAAATTGATCTTCCACTTGCCCTTCCCTAGATCTTAAATATAATAAGTTTGTGAGTCGCCAGCTTAGGAAAAACGGTCGATGCTTTTGTAG